CCTAACAAGAGGATTGGTTAGTTTTGCCACCTGCTTGGCTTAAAATGAGTCATCCCAGAGGCAGAGAGGAGGGATCTGACTACTACCAAGAGGAAGAGACAGGAGCAGAGAGGGTCCTTTGGACCCAGGATTCCTGCACTGGGAGCCTCCTACACCCAGGAGCAGGGGCAGATTAACCAGTAAGCCAGGCATGCACGGGTTTATAGTAAACAAGGTATGAATGGGCTTACTTGTGTTTACTTATTAAGCTGTAGTGCTCAATTTTACATGGGTTTCACTACAATGTGGTGAAAAACAGGTGAAATTGTACACTACAGATTAGTAAATAAACACAAGTAAGCCTGTGTATACCTTGCTTGTTGGGTAATCTGTCCCTGCCCTGGAGACAGGGAGGGAGGATCTGTAACACAGAAGACGGCAAGAGATGGCACAGCAGCAGTAGCAAGAGTGATAGCTGTGCAAGATGGGCAGGAACCAGGGGACTGGTGCGAGATGGCTTCAGTTGGGCTTGCCAACCCACACAAAGCCCAACCCATGGAGCGAGAGAACTGAGCGCCTTCGAGTAGGAGGCTTGCTTGTGGAGTGGGGTGCCTCCAGGCACTTGTGGAGGAGCTAGGCTTGCTGACCCACTGAACAAAAGAACAGAGAGCCTTCTGGCTGAGGCTTACTGGTGGAGTGGGGTGCCCCCAGGCACTTATTGGTGGAGCTAAAGGGCTTTGTAACACTTGCCGGAGCAGGGCAAAGGCCAGGCTGTGAGGGCCCAAGGGCCAGAGAGAGGCCTGCCTGCCAGCACAGCTGGAAAAAAATTGTCCTAATCGAAGAACTATATCCTGAGTCAATTGTGATCCTGAATTGCAACCTGTTACTTCCCTCATAAACCCCATAACTGTGAGTATGCTCTGTGAGTTCTGGGTGGCCATTGTAAAGAATTATTTAACTTGGCAGAGAAGTAGAGAGTGCTGTGGGAGTGATGGCTGGTCTCAGAATTAGTAAAAAGTTTGGAGAGAGGAGGTATGTCTGACTTCTGCCTCATAGCAATCAGCCTTGGGATGATGCTGATGGCAATTCTCTCTCTCCATTGTGAAGTCAAAGGAGGTTAGATGCCCCACCATGCCATTTTTACAACTGCTGTCCCAGCAGTGTCCCCAACTCCACTCCACAGCACAGGGAGTGACCCACTGAACCCCAACAGCACAGGGTAAGCTGGCATCCCTTTCCCATCCTCTTTATGGGGAGTCCCAAATGTGCAGGTGAATAACTGTGTGAAAGAGATAAGCAGGGTGGGGTTGGAGGAGTCCTGGATTTGAATCTCATGTGTTTCCTTCCACCTCTTGATGGGTTGGGGAAAACACTGCCACTTTCTAGGACAAGAACTCCCAATTCTTTCAAGCAGGGCTTCCAAGCCGCAGGGTCTTTGCACTGGCTGTTCACTCTGCCTGGCACGCTCTTCTCCCTAATCTGCCTTGTGGCTGGCTCCTTCTCATCATTTAGGTTTCATCTCAAATGTCACCTCCTCAGAGAAGCCCTCTTGACTCCTCCCAGGCTAAAGCGGGCTTTTCACATCCGCAAGGGCACCTCTCTTCATCTCCTGTTTATTTCTTCCATCGTTCTTACTATAAACTATTTTCTCTTTTACTATTTCATTTATCTGTGTATTCATTTGCTGTCTGTTTCCACTGCCTGAATGTAAGATCTCTGAGACTAAAGGCCTTGTCTTTCTTGTTCACTGCTGTATTCCCTGTTCCTAGCACAGGACCTGCCTCATAGTCGGTGCTGAGTAAATATTTGTTAAATTAATGTTACATCTTTTTTTCCTTCTAAAAACAGGGAAACTGAGGCCAGAGGCAAGAAGGGACATTTCAGAGATGAGTAAGTGTCAGAATCTAGGGCAGAAGCAGAGAGGCTAAGTGGAGCTCCGGTCAGGAGACCGACCTTGGAGGAGGTAGATCATCTCTCCAGGCCTCAGTTTCCCCATCTGTAAGATGGAGTGAGGCAGCCATGACCACGATCCAAAAGGCCTGGTATTAAAGGTGAGATCCCTCCCATTCCCAGGAACGACATTCTCCGCGCAGCATCCGCGCCCCCCAGACACAGCTAAAGCGCCCCAAAAGCCGCAGAAGGAGAAGACTACAGCCCCCATGGTGCCCCGGGCTGCGCTTGCGCACAACGGCGGACCCGATGGGCCGAGTACGCCCTCTGGCGGCGGCCAGCCGCGACGCTCCTCTCGGATCCCCGAGGGGCGGGGGGCCCCAGGCGCAGGCAGTCAGGACGCGCGGCTGCAGCCGCGAAACCGGAGCCGGAGTCTGGAGCGGGCGCGACTGCCGGATCGCAGCCCCCGGGGCCCGCCGCAGCCATGGGCAACCGCGGCATGGAGGACCTCATCCCGCTGGTCAACCGACTGCAGGATGCCTTCTCCGCCATCGGCCAGAACGCGGACCTGGACCTGCCGCAGATCGCCGTGGTGGGCGGCCAGAGCGCTGGCAAGAGCTCGGTGCTCGAGAATTTCGTAGGCAGGTAAGAGCGGCGCGCCCTGGAGCGCGGACACTGGCCCCCCGGACACCCTGAATCCCTGCTCCTGCCCCGACGGCGCCGCGACCTCGTAGCCCCCGGCCCTACACCCACGGACGGCGCGCCCCCCACCCCCAGTCAGAAGGAGGCGGCCCTTGCCCCCACTACTAGCACCCGAGCCCCTCTGGGGCAGCAGCGCCCCCAGCTCGTCGGCAAACGTGTCAAGCCACAGGCCATGGTATCACGCCCCCCTCCTCCGCCTCATCCTTTAGGGAAGACAGGGCTTTCAGGAGACCCTGGCAAAGAGCCCCCCTCCCATGGGCACCAAGGGGCTCCGCATTAGTCAGCGCCTCCCTTCTGCTGTAGGAGTCCCTTGGAGAGGGCAGCACCCCCAGGGCAGTGCCTCCCACCCCAGGCTCTGTGGAGGACAACCACCTTCCCCACGGGAATTCCTGGCCCCCACACCTCCTCGAGGAGGATATAGGCCCGTGGGCATCAGAAGCCAGGCACGGTCTCCCCCCATCACACACGCACCTCTGCGGCTCCCGGCCGCCATCCGTGCGCAGCAACTCAGGGGAGGGGGAGGCGCGGGCTGAGGAAGGAAAGGATGGAGGGGTAGGAGGAGAGAAAACCCGCTTTTGATCCTTTTCGGAGCAGCCAGCCCCTGGCTCCGCCGCCGCGCCTGGTTGAGGGGCGCCTGTCAACGTCTGTCTCCCCTTGGCCTGGCAGAGGGATTGCAATGGAGGGAGAAGGCGGGCAGAGGACAGAGATGACTAAGACAGGGAGGCAGGATGGGGGGAGCCATTTGCAGAACCTAATCCCTCTCCTGCCTCTGATCCCACAAGGCCCTGGGAGGACCAGGTGGCGGGGAGTGAGGGGCAACTACAAAGACAAAGGGTCCTGGGTTGGGGAGTAGGTAGGGTTGTGACCGGCCTTCTCCAGGTTTCCCCAGGATAGGGGAGGAAGAGATGGCTTTTCTGGTGCTGACAGGGAGAGAGGGAGGATGGTTCACTCTCCCACTGCTGCAGGCAGTTTGGGGAGCTGGGCAGACTGAGGCAGGAGAGTGGACACTGACCTCCTCCTCCCCCATCACCCTCACCTTCTTCAGAAACCCTAGCTTTCTTCCAATGACCTTCATGGCTAATGAAGTGACTGACGGGGGTGGGGGAGACAAGGGCTCCTCCCCCCAGAGGGACAGCAGTTCTGTGGGGTGACATTCTGGGTCCAAATCAGGCTCTGCTGTGAAATCTCAGGCAAGTCACTTGCCCTCTCTGAACCTCAGTTTTCCCATCCATAATAAGGGCAGTTGATCTTGATGGTCATTTCTGCCACCAAATGACCTGGAGAGCCCAAATGCCAGCCCTCAGGATGAGAGGGAGACGACTGAACTGGAGCGATGTATCTGTGGGCTGTTGGAAAGGCACTGTGAAGGTGGCTGGGCCCATCTAGTCAGCAGAGGGGAGGCTGTCTGTCTCTTGGGGGACAAGCTCTGCAGAACCCTCTCCCGCCCATGTGACCCCAGAGCTGTAGAGACACAGGAGACAGACACACAGATGAGCCCCCTCCCTGAAACTCCACGGCGGGGCGGGGGCGGGGGGGTGGAGATGCTGCAGACAGCATAGCCCTGAGGCCTTGGTGCTTCTAATGTCACTTATGGACATCCAGCACTTTACAGTGTACACATCATATTCCGACATTTTATATTCATTCATCCATTCATTCATGTGTCCATTGAACATTTGCTGACTGTCTGCTCTGTGCCAGGGTTGTGTACTCTAGACAGGGGGCATAGAGGGGAACAATTGGCACCCTCAGCTCCCACTTACTGAGCCCCTTGCATGTGCCCCACAACAAGCTGAGCTCTTCATAGGCATGGCCTCACATCAGCACCATGAGGGAGGTACCATGGTACCTATCTTACAGAATAGGAAACTGACACTCTGGAGGTTAGATGCCTTGCTCAAGGTCAGGAAGGGCAGCATTTGTTAGACCCCAAAGCACAGGTTCCTAATCTTGCCTCTGCACTTGGCATTGGGCACTGGAGATATGTGTGGGCCTCGGTTTTCCCCATCTGTGAGATGGGAACACTGATGGCTTTTGCCTTGCCTTCCAGAGAGGAGGCTCCAATGAGTTCAAGAGTGTAAAAATCCTTTAGTAAACATGTAGGAGGGAGGCGTTGACAGTCAGTTAGAATTGTGAGCCTATGTGTGCCAGGATGGACCTGGCCTCTGCCCTCTTGGAGTTCACTGTCCAGCAGAAGAGATGCCAGCAGATAGGAGGGCAGGCCAGCCCCAGCCACAGCAGGTGTGAGCTCTACTACAAGAGGCTCGGGTTCTCTGGCTGCCTTCCTCCACACCCTAATGCCCTTTACCCTGGTCCCTGAAGGGAATTCCTCCATTCTCTGGAATGCAAACCAAGGAAGAGGAGGAAGGCTTGGCCTGAGGTAGGAAGTGGGCAGAAAAGCTTTATTTGATCCTCATGAGAGCTGGGAGCAGGCCAGGGCTGGGGCACAGGCAGGGAAACTGAGGCTCAATGGATCCCCTCCCAGCCAACCCTGCCTGCTCTCGCATGGCCTCCCACCTCTCTGTCTAGGGCTGGGTCCCCGGGGCTGTTGAGCATGGTAACAGCCGCTCTGCCTCCTGGGTCATCCTGGGAGCCAATCCCCCATGGAGAGGAAGTGGAAAATGCATCGGAGGAAGCAGAGACTGCTCCACGCCAGCCTGAGCTCCCAGGCACCCAGGAGGACCCTGCAGTCAGCTCTGCAATGCAAGTGCCCAGGGGTTGCCCAGGACCTGCTAGGACTTGTCTGGGTCTGTGTTATTTCCTCGTCCGCCTTTTACAGAGGGGGAAACCTGAGGGTTGTTCGTTCAGTAAATATTCATGGAGTGTCCACAAGGTCTCAGCACTTGGGATTCTCTGGTGGAAAAGACAAGGGCTCTGCATTCCAGAGGGGAAGATTTAGAAATAGTAAACACAGGCGGGTGACGAAGACAACTGGAGAATGTGGTCCAATTGGAGAAGAGGTGCTTTTCACAGGGACATCAGAGAAGATCTCTACAGGAGATTTCCAAAATGAGATAAGGAACTATGTGATAAGAAACTGTGTGACCAGCTAGAGAAGGACCATTCCAGGCTGAGGTTATAGCAAATGCAAAGGCCCTGGGGCAGGAAAGAATTTTGTGTTTGAAGAACAGAAAGGAGCCACTGTGGCTGGCTGGTGTTTGGTGAGCAATGGGGAGATGGAACAGTGAGGTAGGCAGGGGCTAGATCTACAAGGCTTCATAGACCATGATGAGGAGCCTGGGCTTATTTTCATTATTGTTGGAAGCTTTTAAGTAGTGGAATGACTTAAGCTGATTCCAACCAATCTGTGACCTGGGGAGTGCCGGCGGGGAGGGCAAGAGAAGAGGCAGGAGCTTGGTGAGAAGGCTGCTGCAGGGGCAAAAGGTGACAGAGGCCCAGACCAGGGCATTAGCAGTGGAGAGGAGAAGAGGTGGAGGATACATTTTGAAGGAAGATCCAACAGGACTTGATGGTAAATGGAATGTGGAGGGTGAAGAAGGGGAGGAATCAAGGATGACTTCTGGGTCTTTGATAGAACAACTGGATAAATGGAAGTGCCATTAATGGAGACAGGGAAAAGAGCAGGAGGAGCAGGTTTGAGGGACAGGGAAAGTAAGAGTAGGAGTTTGGTTTTGAATATGTTGAGTCTAATTAGTATGCCTGTTGGACTTTTAGGTGGAGATGTCAGCTGGGCACTTTGGTGATACAAGTTGAGAGCTCAGGGCTGGATATATAAATCTGGAAATCCTTGGTATATAGGTAGGATTTAAATCCAAGAGAGTAGATGAGGTCATCTTGGGAGCAAGTGTAGACAGAGGAGTGTGTTTGGGCCCCAGAACACTCCAGCATTTCCCCAGACCCAAGGGGCCTACCCTCTAGCCTTCTGGCTCCCCTTTGCCTGCCCCTGGCTACACGCCCCCAACACATAAACACAAGATGAGGAGTAGGCTGTCTTGGGACAGGCTTCCAAGCTTCAGCTCCCCTGACTGCACTTGCTGTGGTGCCCAGGCAGGCCAAAAATGGGAAGTGCCCACCTTCCCTTCCCTCTTGGTCCCTGGGTGGAGGCCAAGGTCAGTAGGAATGTGGCAGAGAGGTCAAGAGCTTGAGCTCTGGCATTGGATCTGGATTTGAAGCCCAGCTCTGCTGCTTACAAGCTGAGTGACCTTGGGCATGTTTCTTAAACCCTGCTCAGCTGCTATGTCCTCATCTGTAAAATGGGGATAGTAATAGCACCTCTCTCATGGGATTGTGGTAAGCATTGAGATAATGCCCGGGAAGCACTCCAGGAGAGCCTGGCATAAGGACATGCCAGTTCTATTCCTGCCTGGGCATAGGCAGGTGAGCACTTTGGGATGGTGCAGGCAGGGAGGTGGGACACGGTGAGGATGGGGTATCTTCTCCATCCAGAATGTGGCAGGGGACCTGGTGAATGAGCCTCTGCCTGTAGTCCACGGTGCAGCCTGGGAGGTAGAGTTTTGGGTTTCCCCAATGACTCTGCCTACCCCCCAGCTCAGGCTCCTGGCCTCTCATCTATCCCCCTTACCTTTCCTTCTCCTTCTCATCCCAGCATGGGTTTGGTGCTGGTCTCTATCTAGCCTCTGAGAACTCTTCTGTTTATCAGACCCAGCCTGACATGGGAGACAGCCCACTCCCTGCTATTAAGTTCTGTCTCTTCCTCTGAACCCTTTATTTGGGATACATCTGAGCCGTCCCATTTCCCAAATTTGGAGACTGAGGCCAAGTAGGATTAGGGGATAATGGAGACATCCTAGGCAAAGGGTCACTGACATGAAGAGGGAGGAGGGACCTAACATTTATTTGGCACTTACTTATTGGAGGGAACTAAAATTTATTTGGCACTTACTTATTGGTGCCAGGCTCTGGGGATACAGCAGTAAACAAGAGAGACACATCCCTGCCCCCAGGAGACTCCCTCCTGACCA